GGCGCGCACCGCCTCTGCCCCTCTGGTGCGGGGGTGGCCAGGGTTTGGGTACCGCTCTCCTTCCTTAACTAGCCCCATCGCCTCGAGGCCGGGGGGTCGAGCCGTGGCGCTGTACCAGTCCCGCGCTGCAGCACCTCCCCGTCCCCGCTGCTCCCGTCTCCTGTTACATTTACGCAAAACCCTTTTAACGTTTTTAACCATGCATGTTTATGTATGTCTGAGCCCTGGCACTGACACGCCGCCCAGCCGAGGCTGAGCCCAGGGCGCCATGGTCCGAGCGGGCCCATCTCCCCGCGGGAGCTGCCCCTTGTCCGGCACCCAACCCCGATGCAGGACACGGTGGGGGCAGACGCGGCTCCCCCTCGCTCCCAGCGGCGCAGGAGCTGAAGGGACCGGTGTCCTCGGGACTGTGACCTCTGTCCCCTCCCCGGCAGGGGCCGGGATGGTGGCTCAGGAGCTCTGGCTCCCGCTCAGGTGGATTGAATTGAGTCTTTCAGCTGGGACAACTTGCTAGATCTTTTTGTAATGGTTTCTCCTGGTTTTTAGGGGAAAAAAAGACGACCCACAAATCTTGACTTGTATCTCTGAATAAAAGTATTAAATGTTTTCTTCTTTCTAATGGCTGCGTCCTCTCCCTGAGCGTGAGCAGAGCCCCTCCACGTGGCTGATCGGGGCAGCGGTGGGATGGAGGAGCAGCCCAGCATGATCAGCCCCTGAAACCTGGCAGCTTTAAGGTACCTGGGTCTTCGCTGCCACCGGCACCATCGCCTCCAGCACTACCAGGGTGTCCCCAGCGCAGCGGAGCCGCACACTTGCCTCCTCTCAGGAACTGCTCTTTAATCAACTACCACTTCCACAAATACCTTACAGCCGAGATTCCCACCGCCACCGCCGCCCTCCCTCCACCGCTGCCCCGGGGCCGGCCAGGCTGTGAGACAGCCAGAGCACGGCCTGAGTGGCCGCTCGGGGCACAGGCAGGAGCCAGTGGGGTCCCCGCACCTCTTGGGCCAGCTCCCAGGAGCAGCGGGCAACGGGAGCCCCGCGGTGTTGTCCCATGCTCGGAGCCGAGCCCTGGCTGCTGGAAAGGCACCTGGTACGCGTCGGACGCGGGCTGCTGCCCTCCTCAGCTGCTGTGCTTAAGGAGGCTGTAGATCTGCTCCAGGACATGGGTGAAGCTCTGATCTTTGGGGGTCCGGGCAGCCAGGGAGCCCTGAGATGGGAACACCAGTCATCACCCAGCCCACGTGGGCCCATGCACAGCCCTAACCCCTGGCAGCTGTGGTTGTTTCCTTCTCTTCCCTGCACTTTGCCCCATGCCATGAGCATCCCATCGTGGGAAAAACCCTATTAAAAAGCCCAGAGAACGTGCAGGTGGCTCCCCCCAGCACTGGCCCCTCCTCACCTTCAGTTTGTCCAAGTAGGTCTGATCCTGGCTCCACAGCTCCTGAAACTTCACCAGGTCTGGGGCTCCCTTGTAAAACTCCACCAGCAGTGTCTGGGGCAGGGACAGAGGGGCTGCAGGGATGGGGGTGCCCGGGGCCGGGCACTCGTCCCCCCGTCCCTGCAGGTGTGCCAAGACTGCAGCAGTGCAGGTGGTGATGGAGAGCGAGACTAGATGGTGGCTGGTGTCACCATCACTGGGAAGGACACAGGGAGGGGTGACAGAGACCTGGCTTGGCTCTGCTGGGGTGGGGAGGCGGATAGGGGGCAGATAGGGGTTTTGGGTGGTGCGGGGGATGAGGACCCAGCCCTGTGCCACGCTCACCATCTCCTGCAGGACGTCGTTGGTGAGGAAGCCGTCCTGGAGGTAGGCCACCTCCACATCCATGGGGATGCCATAGTCGTTGGGCCTTTGCTGGGAGAGCAGGGAGCGGGGGTCATCCCGTGGCACGGCA